CTTTCACTTCCTCACTCTCTCTAAAATCAATAAAGGAAAAAAAAAATTTTTTTTAATGCAAAGGGTTAAAGTCAAAGAGAAAATCTTAAAAACAACAAGAGAAAACCTACAAGGGAGCTCCCATTAGACCATCAGCTTATTTCTCAAAGAAACTTTGCAGGCCAAAAGGGGTTGGCAAGAAATATTCAAAATGATGAAAAGCAAGGACCTGCAACCAAGACTACTCTACCCTTCAAAGCTATCATTTAGAATAGAAGAAGAGATAAAGAGCTTCTCAGACAAGAAAATGCTAAAGAAGTTCATCATCACCAAACCAGTATTATATGAAATGGTAAAGGGTCTTTAAAAAAAAAAAAAAAAAAAAAGAATATACCCTGCCCAGTGTGACTCAGTGGTTAGAGCATCAGTGCACACACTGAAGGGTCACAGGTTTGATTCTTGGTCAAAGGGCTGCCAAAAGGAGAAGAGAGTTGCAGGTTTGATCCCTGGACCCAGTTGGGACACACATGTGTGGGAGGCAACCAATCAATGTGTCTCCCTCACATTGATATTTCTGTCTCTTTTCCCCTCCCTCCCTTCCACTGTCTCTTTTTTTTTAAATCCTCACTGGAGGATATTTTTCCATTTATTGTCAGATAGAGTGGGAGTGAGGGGTAGAGAGAGAGAGAGAGAGAGAGAGAGAGAGAGAGAGAGAGAGAGAGAAACACCGATGTGAGAGGGACACATCAATTGGTTGCCTCCCGCATGACCCTGACCAAGGCTGGGGACGAGCCGCAACCAAGGTACATGCCCTTGACTGGAATCAAATGCAAGACTCTTTGGTCCATGGGCTGATGCTCTAACCACTGAGCAAGATCGGCCAGGGCTCTCTCTTAAAATCAATGGAAAAAATATTCTCAGGTGAGTATTAAAAAAATTAAAAGAAGATAAAAAATATGAACAATAAAATGGCAAAAAATACATTCCTATCAACAACTGAACCTAAAAACAAAATAAACAAGCAGAACAGAAACAGACTCATAGATACAGAGAACATTCTGAAGGTTCCCAGATGGGAGGGGGATTGGGGCATGGGGAAAAAAAAGATGAAAGGACTAAGTACAAATTGGTTGTTACAAAATAGCCATGGAGATATAAAATACAGCATAGGGAATATAGTCAGTAATATTCTAATAACTATATATGGTGTCAGATGAGTGAAAGATTTATTGGGATGATCACTTACTGAGTTATGTAGTGTCTAATCACTGGGGTGTACACCTGAAACTAATATAATAATGTATATCAACTGTAATTGAAAATAAAAAATAATTTAATAAAATAGACAAAAGGACTTTGTACCATGCATTTTGGGGCTTGATATTCCACAGTGAGGTTTTATATCTAAATTGATGAACCAAGTCTAAAACCTAATTGGAGAAATCAACTTCCTAGAAATATCTTACTTAAACCATTCATCATCAGTTGACTTTGCCATATATGGATAGAGACGAAAGTTAAAAACAAGGATTCATAAGGATTGGAGAATGTATGCCCCTAAAATACACACATGCATATCTTTTTAATAGGTAAATATTTCATCCTGATAAAGTCCCAGGCTTATGTAGAAAAAGCACATAAGACTTATAAATCACTTCAAGAATCAGAATGTATCTTTATTTATCAGTGACAGCAACAGCAAGAGAAACCATGAAGCAAGAAATCAAATAAAATTACAGGGTTGAAACATCTAACCCTGCAGGGAGCCTGAGCTCTCGGGACCAAATTTTATGGCAAGACTTTCTGCAGAAGTCATGTTACAGAAACAATCCAGACTTCTTAACAGAGAGGGTATTTCCATTGCTATGCTTCATAAGGCTCCGTAAGAAAGACCCAGATGAGCTGAGCTCAGAAGACTGTAACTCACATATATATAAAGCTACTCATTATTTCTAAAATTGGGTTTCAGATAAAAAAATCTTCACACACACACAAAAACAATCTGCCCTAATTTCCTAGGACTCTTAAAACATTCCATTTACTTAAATAAGGTCTGTGGTCTTTTGGGCACCAGTTTTAGAATCAAATTCTAAAACTGAATTATGAAAGTTTCTCTAAATCCAATCACTTGTTCACACAGTTCTCTCCAAAAAAGACTGCTCTGTCTTTATCTAAGGTCCTTCTGTACTAGTATCAGAGACAACCTATAGATCTACCCGGGACCCAATCTCATAGTGTATCATTTGCTATTCTACAAAAGAACTCTGCTGATCAGTACCTAGAATCTTGCACTATGAATGGGAAATAAAATTCATTCTGCAATTTGAGGCTTCCTGGTTTAGGAATTAGGGGCTAGACTGTAAGACATAGTAACAAATAACACACAAAAATAAATAAATAGGCTGAAAAACTTCATAATAATCAATATGGTAAACACGCATCTTCCTCATAGCATCCATTTATCTCTTTCTTCAGCCAAAATTTGTTAAAGGTTTATTTACATGTTGAATTTAACATAGATCACTGTGAAGTCCAGGCCACTTAACTCTCCTGAATTACTGCAGTAACCTGCTGCTAATTAGCCTTTTCTTCATTCCACCTTTGTCTTTTCTAATCTTTCCCCACTCAACATTCAGTGACCTTTCTAATATACAGATCTATGTGAACCCCAGAATAAAACCTTTCAGTGCCTTTGCAATGCACTTAGTATAAAATCAAAATCAGCCCTTTGTGATCTGATCCCCTCTCCAACACTCCAGCCTCCTTTTCTGCCACCTTCCCCCTTACTCTCTACACCCTAGCTATTCTGGATTCTCTCCTTTCCCCAAACACACAGTGCTAGTCTAATTTAGGATGTGTCACCTACATGCTCTCACAGTACCATGTACATAACTTTATTATAACATTTCTCCACTTTACTGCATTCACTGGCTTGTCTTACCTCACCAGAGTGTGAGCTCCTCAGATAGCAGACCACACTTTATCAGCTTTGCACTCCCAATTTCTCTTAGTGCCTGACTCAATAAATGCTTATTGAGTGACCAACTGACCAAATGAAGGAAAATACAGAAGACAGCAGGAAGAAGAGCTAGACGAGGGAAAGATAATGCTTGTTTTTAATTTTTTTATTTTTTTAATCATTACCCGAGGATATTTTTCTATTTATCCTCAGATAAAGTGGGAGGGAGAGAGGAGAAAGGGAGAGAGAAACATTGACGTGAAAGGGACACATCGACTGGATGCCTACCACACGACCCCAACCAGGGCTGGGGACAAACCACAATCAAGGTACATGCCCTTGGCCGGAATTGAACCTGCAATGCAACTCATTGGTCCGAGGGCCACTCTACTGCTGAGCCAAACCGATCAGGGCGATAATGCTTGTTTTTAAATATATTAAGTTTGAGGTGGTATTGGTTTAGTGGAATAGAAATGGGCAAGAAGTTAATAAAGAGATCAGGTCTGCAGATGCCAATTTTATCCGATGACAGAACTAGTAAGTGTTCTGAAATGATTTAAAGAGGTCTTAGTTTTAATGGCTGAAGTTATGAGAATAGTGTTTTAAAACTGAAAACAAAATCTAAATTTCAGTAAAACATATGATTTTATGAGTAACAGAATAAAAAATGACAATTTATAATTCAAACATTCTTAACATATGTAAAATAATTTGATTACGCTATCATTTAGAACACTGTTAAACAAATTTGTCTTTAGATTATGGGGGAAAAAAAAAAAGTAATTCTACTGGCTCCTTATCAAACTCACGAGATTAAATCCCAAGAAGTTGATTCTTACCACATTTAATACACTTAAGTTTTCATCATGTAACTAGAGTTGCCTATTAAGCACTGAGTTAGACCTGAGAGTGTATGGGTATTATTTTTATTACTTTTGCTTTTTGTTAATAATCTATGATTTTTAACAGACTGCTTTCTTAACATATACAATGCATATTTAAAACTGAAGCTTGATCTTATGAAGATACCCCACAACCAGAGCCACCACCACCACCACCACATACTTTCTTTTTTGATGCTGGTAAGATTTAAAGGAAAACCTCACCAGCATTAACTTCTTTTTAGTATGTATATGTATTATCTATACAATAAATATTTTTAAAATTACTATCAGTGATCAATACAGCTAGAGGTAATTAGGGAAAATGTGCAAAGCTATTCACATTTCTGGGTTTGATATGCATAGTACCAAACCAAATTCCTAATCAAACCAAGTTAACTTTATATTTTGCATTATATGTATTTTGTTAATTTTTAAGTCCAAGAATTAGAAAGCTGCTGTGCCAGAAAAATTTTTTTAAGTAATTTTAAAAATTTTAAATTCAGGTAAAAATACATTACATAAAATTTATCATCTTAACTATTTTTAAGTTTACAGTTCAGTAGTGGTAAGTATATTTACAGTTATGCAAACAGATCTCCAGAACTTTTTCATCTTGCAAAACAGAAACTCTATACCCATTGTATAACTCCTCATTTTCCCCTCCCCTTTCTTTCTGTTTCTATAAATCTGTCTCCTTTAGGTATCTCATGTAAGTGAAATCATACAGTACTTGTCTTTTTATGACTGGTTGAATTCACTTAGCATAATATCCTTATGGTTCATCCATGTTGTAACAGGCCTTTCTTCCTTTTAAATGCTGAATAATATTCCACTGTGTGTAATATATTCCACATTTCATTTATCCATTCATTCATCAATAGACATATGACTTGCTTCTACCTCTTGGTGATGGTGAACAATGCTGCTATAAACATGGTGTGCAAATATCTCTTCGAGATAAGAAAAATTTTTAAATCGAGTTTATCCAATGGACTAGTTAATATTTCAAACAAAATCTCTGTATTGTGTTACTAATAATCAGTTGGAAGAAAACAGTGTCAAACACCAAAATGTGACAATGAAAAATAAAACACTAAAACTGAAATTAAGCATACCATATTTCTACTTACGTGTATCAATGATTGCTTATCTTATACAGCAAAGTGTAACCTCCTTACCAGTAACTATTACACCATCATCTTTATGAGCTTTAGCCATCTCTTGAACATGAACTTCTGAGTTCACATCGACCTCTTTTCCTGATAACTGTAAATGAGCTTGAAGAGAAGATGCAACCTTGACCAGAATAGAGCCTGTAATAAGTTTATTGGAGAGCTTATTAATGCAAAGAAATCAAAAGTATCAGAGCTTATTACAAAAATGAATGAATGGGTAGTATTGTTCCTGGTACACTGCTTTTATTCCTCAGTATATTTTACTTAAACAGCAGTGTCTTTTCCTTACTCCCAGGTGGTCAATGTTTCCTACCTCCCAAAGCATTGAGAGTAACTACTGTCAACAATATGAGTTATTAGGACATTATAAATTACTATTTCTTCTTTTGTCAAAAGCACTTATCACAGAAAAGTGAGTGATTTATTACACATGAAGCTTGTAGAAAGGATTTACCATTAATCAAGCATTTACTAAGGTGTAATTAATTACATTATCTCTTTAAATCTCCATTTCAACTTGACGAGATATTATTGTAGTCTTGATTTTACAAATGAGAACTTGCTCAAGTTCTCATTAGAGCTAATGTTAGAATTGAGATCCAGTTCATTGACAACAAAACCCATGCTCTTAACCACTGCGGTATTTCACACACTCTTCTTCCTCCTTGTATTACAAAACCTGTGAGCTCACTGATCATTATAACACAACTAGAACCTTGAACTCTTGTGCTTTCAGTTGTGCCCCATGAGATCCAGGGGGTTAACAATAATAAAAAAAAGAAAGAATGTTTGAATTTTAACTAATGTTTCTTTTCAATTACAGTCTTTTGGGTATCTAAGGCAAGACATTCAACTTTATTTCCATTATAATCTTGTAGTAATTAAAGCTTCTAGAGGAAATAAGAAAAAGCACTCTGTTAGTTAAGCAATCATTTTTCAAAACAATGACTTAGGTTGCAGTGAAAACTCACCAGCACACTCCTCTTTCAGAAGTTTTTTTCTCTGTTTCTTATATATCAAAAAAAGTAAGAGGCTCCTGCCATAAAACATTAAACCCAGCTCTGTGAACAAGATGGTCAGGATGACATCCCCTGTGAATTCTATAAAAATTCCTATTAGAATGCATTTATATATGGGCCATTGTTTGCCTTCTAGTTTGGTTAATATCAGTTTAAGTTTTTTAAAGTAACTTCGTATCTTCTTAGGATAAGACTGATGAACACTTGTATTTACAAAAAGAGTGGGAAACAAAGCACATCACTACATCACTACAACTGCTTTATTTTATTTAAAAAACAAATTGCTTTTCAGATTTTAAATGTAAACTACTGACAGGAGATCCTCCATAACAACAGATAAGAGGGTTTTGGGGGGAAAAAACCACCACCACCACCCTGAAAAATTTCCAGATGAATAGAAAAGACATGTTTTTCTACCAAACATACTTTAAAAAGTAGAAAATAATGAATTTAAAAAAATTTTAGGACTTTATATCTAACTACATTAAATGTGATCAATTTTTTCAGCTCTTAAGTGAGTCAAGAGATCTTAAATCTGTGACAGCTTTAAAAATGTTAAGTAATGCACATAGTTTTATCCCCATCGCTTTCCACATCCTTCAAAAACAAAAACCATCACTACCAATACTCCATTACTGTTTGCAAATAAAGAATTGTCATGAATTGAGAACTTCCAAATTTCCCCCTTTAACATGATCTTTTCTTTTAGAAAGAAGAGCTCGTTATATCTTCAACATCTGTTCACTTTGTAAACTGCTTCACGGTTATTGACATCAATACCATTCTTTAAAAATTAAAAAGTTAGTGTTAAAACTAATACTAATAGCATCATTTATGGAAGGCATACTATATTGGAATTAGTGGTGTAATCAAGGACAAATTTTAAGTGAAAAAGTCAGTATTCATTTGTAGGTCTGACTCTCAAGGCTTTCTGAATGAATTAATAAGGTCCCATGTTGATTTTCATAGAGAGAAAACACACATTGTAACACTCCTTTTAAAAAAAAATTTTTGTTACAGATGTTTCTCCCTTTTCCCTCATTGACAGCCTACTCCTGCTCCCTCCCCTTCCCGTCCTCAGCTTTGTTAGCCATGTCTATTGGTTATGCATACATGCATATAAATTCTGTGTTTTATCTTCCCCCACCCCCATCTTCTGGGGATTGTCAGTCTATACCCTACTTCCGCATCTCTGGGACTTCCCTGTTCTTCAGACTGTTATGTTCATTACATTCCACAAATAAATGAGATCATATGATATTTACCTTTCTCTGCTTGGCTATTATCACTTAGGATAATACTTTCCAGGTACCTCCATGTCATCTCAAAGGATAAGAGATCTTTCTTTCTTACAGCTGCATAGTACTCCATTGTGTATATGTACCAAGGTTTTTTATCCATTTGTCTACTGGTGGAGATTTGGGCTGTTTCCAGATTTTAGCTATTGTAAATAGTGCTGCTATGAACATGGGGGTACATATATTCTTCCTGATTGGTGTTTCAGGCTTCTTAGGGTATATTCCTAGAAGTGGGATCACTGGATCAAATGGCAGCTCAATTTTTAATTTTTTGAGGTAACACCGTATTGTTTTCCATAGTGGCTGCACTAGTTTGCATTCCCACCAGCAGTGTACTAGAGTCCCATTTTCTCCACATCCTTGCCAGCACTTGTTGTTTGATGATTTGTTAATGGCGGCCATTCTGACAGGTGTGAGGTGATACCTCATTGTGGTTTTAATTTGCATCTCTGTGATGATTAGTGATGTTGAGCATTTCTTCATATGTCTCTTGGCCATTTGTATGTCCTCTATAGAGAGGTGTCTATTCAGCTCCTCTGCTCATTTTTAATTGGGTTCTTTGTCTTTCTTTGTTGAGTTGTACAAGCACTTTATATATTTTGGAAAGTAACCCCTTATCTGATGTATCATTGGCAATTATGCTCTCCCATACAGTGGGTTGCCTTCCCATTTTGATGGTTGTTTCTTTTGCTACGCAGCAGCTTTTTAGTTTGATGTAGTCCCACGTGTTTATTTTTTCCTTTGTTTCTGTTGCCTTAGCTGATGTATTAGTGAAAACTCTGCTGCGTATGATGTGTGAAATTTTGCTGCCTATATTTTCCTCTAGGATTTATATGGATTCATGAGTCACATTTAAGTCTTTTATCCATTTTGAGTTTATTCTTGTGTATAGTGTAAGTTGATGGTCTAATTTCATTTTTTTTGCATGTAGCTGTCTAATTTTCCCAACACCATTTATTAAAGAGGCTGTCTTTACTCCATTGTATGCTCTTGCCACCTTTGGTGAATATTAATTGAGCATAACGTTTTGGGTCAATTTCTGGGTTCTCTGTTTATTCCATTGATCTATGTGCCTATTCTTGTGCCAGTACCAGGTTGGTTTTTTGTTTGTTTGTTTGTTTTTATCCTCACCCGAGGATGTTTTTCAGTATTTTTTTCAGATAGAGTGGGAGGGAGAGAGAGAGAGAAAGAGAGAGAAAGATCGACGTCAAAGGGACACATCAAGTGGTCGCCACCCACACGACCCAACCAGGGCCAGGGACAAACTGCAACTGAGGTACTTGCCCTTATCAGGAACTGAACCCTGGTCTCACTGGTACGTGGGCCAATACTCTAACTGCTGAGCCAATCTGGCCAGGGCTCCAGAAGATTTTTAATATATTTTGGTGCTCCTATATTAGGTGCATATATGTTTACCAAAATTATATCTTCCTGTTGGATAGATCCTTTCAATATTATGTAGTGGCCTTCTTTGTCTCTAGTTATGACCTTCATTTTGAAATCTAATTTATCAGATATGAGTATTGCTACCCCAGCTTTTTTTCCCTTTCCATTTGCTTGGAAGATTTTTTTCCATTACTTCACTTTCAACCTTTGTGAGTCTTTAGCTGTGAGGTGGGTCTCTTGTAAACAACATATATGTGAGTCATGCTTTCTTTTCAGTCGCTACTCTGTTTCTTTTTATTGGAACACTCAATCCATTTACATTTAAGGTGATTATTGATATGTACTTATTTATTGCCATTTTTGTTTAGTGTGGTTATATTTTTCTTCCTATTTCTTCTACTAATTACAGCAGTCCTTTTAACATTTCTTGCAGTGCTAGTTTGGTGCTAATATATTCCCTTATCCTTTTTTTTTTTTTGTCTGGGAAACTCTTTACTGTACCTTCTATTTTGAATGACAGCCTTGCTGGGTAGAGTAGTCTTGGATTCAGATCCTTGTTTTTCATGACCTTGATTACTTCATGCCATTCCCTTCTGGCCTGCAGTGTTTCTTGTGAGAAGTCAGCTGAGAGCCTTATGCGGGTTCCTTTGTAGATAACCTGTTGCTTATCTCTTGCTGCTTTCAGGATTCTCTCTTTGTCTTTAATTTTTGGCATTTTAATTATTATATGTCTTGGTGTGGGCCTGTTTGGGTTCTTCTTACTTGGGGCTCTCTGTGCTTCTTGAACTTGAATGCCTTCTTCCTTCACTAAGTTAGGAAAGTTTTGTCACTATTTCTTCAAATATATTCTCTAACCCTTGCTCATTTTCTTCTTCTTTGGGGACTCTTATGATGCAAATATTATTATGTTTCCAGTTGTCCCAAGTTCTCTTAAGCTATCTTTGTGTTTTTTAATTATTTCTCCTTTTGGTTTTCTGATTGGTTGATTTTTTTCCTCCCGTCTTCTAATTCACTGATCCAGTCCTCAGCTTCCTCTACTTCGCTGGTTAGTCCTTCCAATGTGTCCTTTATTTCTGCAATGTCATTCTTCATTTCCACTTAGTTGGTTTTAATGTTTCTATATCTTTACTCATGGTGTTGATATCCTTACTCATGCTGTTGAGCTTCCTCCAGATCATGGCTCTGAACTCTACCCCTGATAACTTGCTTAACTGCATTTCATTGATCTCATCTTCAGTAGAGTTCTCTTGTTCTTTCATTTGGGATTTGTTTCTTTGTTTCACCATTTTGGCCATCTCTGTGGGTTTTGGAACCTGTTAAATTTCCCCTGTGGGTGTTGGTGTTTTGCTGTCTGTGGCTCCCTCTACTGGGTTTGGATGAGCATGGAAGGGCCCACAGTAAACCCCACTGTCAAATCTTACTTTCCTGGGTAGATTTGTAAACCCAGGAAAGGTTCGGTTATCCTCTAGCTTTTTGCCTGGAGGTTATTAGTCTCAGTTACTGAGAGCCTTGGAATGTAGCCTTCTGATGTTCTGGGTAAGAGGATTTCCAGAGGGTGGGACAGATGCTGGTTGTTAATGAGCCTCAATTTGTATTTCTTTGGCTCACCTGGTGGAAGCTGAGTCTCTGAGGGAGGGGCTGCTCTTTCTCCATACAGCTCTGGGAAGAAGCAAGCTGGCCACTATCCTTTGTGGCAAAAACTCTGAGCGCCCTCCAAATCCCAGGTGTCCCCACAGAGTTCCAGTCCAGTCCACCTTCCCTCTGCCAGAGCACAAGGTGAGCGGCTGTAGCTAATCTAGTGCTCTGTCCTGCCCCTCTGTGCTGTGGAGCGGGCTTGGGATTTTAACCTGTTCACAGTTAAGGCCACTGCTGTCTGTGGGTTCTCACCTGCCACCCTCTTGTGCCTCCACAGATCCTACCAGTGTCTGTGGTTATATAATCTCTTCCCATTGCTTTTCTGTTGCTTTTTTCCCACGCTTTATTTTAGTGGTGATTCACGTTTGGTCCTGGGAGATCATCTGTGTAGCTTTCATTAACTCGACCACCATATTTCCCTCTCTCTGGTGCCTTTTATTTACCAGTCTGAGCCCCAGTTTCCACCAAATCCAACAGTAATTGCCTCCCCTTCAAGGTTTCCCTGTTCTCCTAGAACAGTGGTTCTCAACCTTCCTAATGCCGCGACCCTTTAATACAGTTCCTCATGTTGTGGTGACCCCCAACCATAAAATTATTTTCGTTGCTATTTCATAACTGTAATTTTTCTACTGTTATGAATTGTCATCGGAAATATGTGTTTCCCGATGGTCTTGGGTGACCCCTGTGAAAGGGTCGTTCGACCCCCAAAGGTTGAGAACCACTGTCCTAGAAGAACCTGAGACCTTCTAGCACCCCTAACACTCTTTTTCACATGGCAAAATGTTGAAGACCTAAGAGACTCAAATAGCTGGTTCTTGAACGCTACAGTAAGACAGTGGCGGAGTCAGAAAGGATTTCAGATTTCTTTACTAACCGTTAAGCAACAGACTGATGAATAACTTCCTATTCTGAAAAGTTACTCTTGCCAAATGTAGTAAGAATTAAGAGACCTAAAGTAAGGTAGAAATCTTTGTTTCCAGTTATCTTTAAGCTTCTGCCAATAACATGGTTCCAGTAGGAGAAAACACAAAATTGACTAATCAAATTTTGAAACACTATAGGCCATTTCAATAGGTTACTGGAATAACATTCTAAATAATACTCAAAAATATTTCAAGTACTGAAGATTAATAATGATTTTTGTTTGTTTTGTTGTACTTTTCTGCCCAACCATACAAAACAGGAAAAAAAAACCTTTCATTTAAGAGTTTTTACTCTGTTACTAGTTACATTACATGTAGTAATTGTTTTTCTCTTTCGGTCTTCATAATAAGAAAATGCAATTATATGACTTTTATGGCATTCACAAAATACCCTGAATAGCATTACTGAAGCTCTTAGAAATTTAGTCAGAACATGATATTATTTAAAGGGGGAAAAAATGTGATATTGAAAAATAAAATCATACCTGTGTGTCAGCAATCATTTGTTTCAGACCTCTGTGTTGTAGTTTTATTTTGACATCTGACAAGTAAGCCTCGCTGACAAAAGAAATATTAAACCAATGTGGGAAAGAAATTACTAACAGCAGGAACAACTGGTCTCTGTAAGAAAGTATTTTCCTTGTTATATTAATATGCAAGAGCTTCTAGACTTTATTGTTAATTTTTTATACAGAGCTGTGGTTCTCAGCTTTCTGCACTCAGGCCACTTCAGCCCCTATGGCCAAGTTACTCCAAATACCCAAGCCACTTGCCACCATGCATGTGTGCATGTACTTCTACACAGCTTTCAAATGACTCAAAAATGCATCATTTTTAATGAAAGACCTTGACTCTTAGAAAAAGTTATTTGTTTTAGAAATAATATTATAGAAAGAGACACATAATAAGTCTTTTTTTAAATTTTTAATTGATTGATTTTAGGGAGAGGGGGAAGGAGGGAGAGAAAGAGAGAGAGAAACATTGATTTGTTGTTCCACTTATTTATACATTCTTTGATTGCTTCTTGTATGTGCCCTGAAGGGAGATTGAACCCACAACTTTGGCCTATCAGAGCTACAGGGCCAGGGGCACATAATAAGTCTTGATACTTCAAGAGATTAAGTCAACAATCACTTTAGAGGACCCTCCTGATGAGACCTTTATTTCAGGATCACATTTTGAAAAGTGTTACTCTAAAGTGATGGCCTCAGAAGATCCACTTACAGTGATAGAAAAACTTCTAAAAACAGTATGAGAGCATTTTCCAAAGAATATTCTATATTAGACACAAAGCTAAACTGAAAAACCCGAACACTAACACTAAAACATTTTACAGTAATAGAGAATCAGTATATTACCACACCTTTGTTTGCACTACAAAGGATAAGACAGTCTTCATGGCCATCTGTCCCTAAAGTTTCAAAGATCATTGGTCTACAGGACTAGTATTCCAGTCTTTAAATCAGATTCTGAGACGAAATTTTCTTGAAATCAGTTTGTTAGTACTACAGATATGATAATTTGACCATCTGTTTCCTGAATGTTATGTAAAACCTTCTTTATACATATGTCAAAATAAAACATTCCACTTGGCTAACCTTTATGGGATTTCAATTCCACTTTCCCCAATTGGCTGACATAAACATCTAAGGCACTTTGATGAGTTGAGGCTTTTAGACATCCAGAGGATGAATCCAGGACGAAGGAAAACAAACAAACATAAGCATAATCATTCTTACTTGAGTAACTGGAATTATAAACTTGAACTAAAAAGCTCTGCTTCAGCATTAGGATAAAGAGCTAAGAGTCTAGTGAGGTTTTTTTCTTATAACTATGCCATCTTCTGCTTTAAAATGAAAACAGGAACAGAAATCTAGAATTATACACCAGACAATAAAAAATCCCTGTCTATAGTAACCTGCATGACTTATCTCTAAACATCTGAAGCACCGTCTCTGAACATGTTCACATAATGCGCAGGAGGGACAGTGCACAAGCAGTGAATACTTGACAGCCAAGATCATTTAGCACTGCTGATACATTTAGTTTATTATCAACTTTCAATGTTTACTAAACAATTATATCTCATGTATATAATTGAATCACTGTATTGTACACTTGTACAGTCACATACAAGTAGTGGCAAAGTTAACAAAAATCAAAACCTCTTATATTTTCTCCTTTTAGCAAATTTGCTAAGTACTAGAAAGTACTGCTCAGAGTGAAAGATTACTCTGTATAAGGTTTTGTTGCATTTTTTAGAGGCACAGAAATGGGGGGTCACTTGAAGAGTGGGCAAAGTTAGTTTATATCTAAATATTTCTTTTCAAGTTTCTGGAATTAACAGGTTATCTTTAAATCAGGGGGAGAAAATCATAAATAAGGTGGTTCTGATCTGACACTCAAATTTCCTTTTGTCATCATTGACTTCCATTTTTCAATCAGCCAGTATTTCAGTTCAAAACAGAGATAAAGAAGTAAGAATGATGTTGAAGAGTCAGTGCTAAGTAGCTTCCCCTTCTTTCTCCTCTCCCATGTCAACTGAACCTTTAATTGAATATTCTATCTGACTGCCCTGAGAAAGTCAAAGCATATTTTTTTAAGAACCCTCTTAAAAAGCATATTTTATCTGGAGTTTTTATTACTTCAAAGTGGGAACAAAGTAGGGAGTGTGATGAAACTAATGCCAAAAATTATACTATTCTACTTTTTGCAAAATATGGAGAAAATAAATTTGCATACTCATAAAGGAGCCAACATTTTTCTTTAAATTTTAGATGAATCCAAAGGTAACAGCTTGGGAACAAACTATTTAAAATCTAACTCCAAAATAATTTACAATAATTTATCTCTAGTCTAGACTGAAAAATGTCCTTTATCAGAACTAATTAATTTAATTTTTAAAATTTAAGTATAGCTGGCATACAATATTATATTAGTTTCAGCTGTACAACAGAGTGATTCAACATTTATTTAATTTTTTTAGCGTCAAAAGACATTAAAATACTGGAAAATTAAGCAACTAGACATAAACGACATGGAATAGCTGGACAAAGATGAATCTTTCTCTCCCCAGCCACCAACAAAAACTCCTTGTAAAGCCCCTTACTGCATCCTAAAAGAAGCCAAGTGAAAACATATTATAATAAAAAATGTGGACTACACAATGCGTGCATTATCCCAGGTTGAACAAAATAAAATATTTAAACATTATTTTGATTTCTTGCTTTCTCTAAGGGGAAAATATACAACAGTGTTACATGGTTCATAAGCAATACTTTTCACTTCTCTCTCCCGCCCCCTGCTAATGGGAAATAAACACAGCTAAACAATGATATCCTAAACCACTAAGTAAGTAAGTTCTCATGTTATCAGTGTTGAGCTCTGATAATGGCCCTTCCCTTGGAGGCTATCAAAAAAAAAAATCTTTTAATTCAAGATGCATTTTTAAAAGAGAAAGCAAAGGTAATATTGAAAAATCTATGTAGCAAAACACACACTAATTTTTTGTTTTCTATGATACAAGTGATTGGAACTAAAAATTATCAAGAGTCAAAGGCTCCATTCACAGAATTTCATAGTTTGGAGATTCACATAACAGAGAAATGCTATTGTTGTGGGAGGAACCTTGAAGGGAAATAAGCATTAGAGGGTGATTAAGAAGTGAATAGAAATTGTTAGTCCAGAAAGTCGTTGAAATAAGTAGGCTCTATAGTTTTGTATCATCACTATTTGGGACAAAGGTCTTATAGGTCTGACAGAGACCACTGAGTTTTCCCAGAAAATTACACATACACAGGGGAAAAAACTGATATCAACTACCAGGTAACACTATATGCAACCAAAGAAATAGATATTTGTAATGTGCACTTTGCTAATAGCAAAGAATAGCAAATAAGTTTAAAAGGCTAAAATCCCAAACTTTGCTAATTTTCCTTCAGATAAAGAAAAATTCTCTCAAAATTGGTCAAGCAAATTCAGAAAGTTCTTCGAAATTTTTATAATTCTACCTCAAGTTTCAACATGTAGATACTAAGAAACAGCAACACAAAAGATATTTCTTGATTTTTGCAATTTGATTCCTATATTTCCAAAGCTACACTAATTGCAGTAATAAGGAACAAATTTTATATATAGGACTAAATATATAAGCCTTAATTTGACTCTTAATACCTTTTGGTTGCAATCATTTGTAATATAGTAAAGGATGTGAAAAGGCAGAATTTTAAGGTCTCTTCAAGTTAAGTTTTCTAAATTAATGTCCTGTCTAGGTGTTCTGTGTTTGGGTAAGAGCATATAGGAGGCTGGGCTTATGAAAAACACTCAGGGCACTATAATTACCAGTACACAGCTTCTGGTGATGCCTTCCAAAGGAGGCAACATAGAAAAGAGAAAGTCAAGCTAGGTGAGCAACTCTATTAACACCCCTATCCCACCATTATCTATTTTCAAGCTCTGCCCTATCTATCTATCTATCTATCTATCTATCTATCTATCTATCTATCTATCTATCTATCATTTATCTTCAGATAGAGCGGGAGGAGAGAGGGAGGAAGAGAGAGAGAGAGAGACATCGATGTGAGAGAGACACATTGACTGGTTGCCACATGCATGACCCCAACCGGGGCTGGGGACAAACTGTGACCGAGGTATGTGCCCTTAGTGGGAACCAAAACCAGGACTCTCTGGTCTGCGGGCTGATGTTCTAACTGCTGAGCCAAACAAGCCAGGGCTGCTCTCTCCTTTTTAAAATGGAACATGACCTGGTGTTACAGAAGAAAGTTATTATTTATGAAAATATGAGTTTAGCACTGGCCAGGTAGCTCAGATGGTTAGAGCACTGTCCTGATATGCAAAGGTTGCAGGTTCAATCCCCAGTCAGGGCACATAAAAAAAACAACCAGTAAATGCATGAATAAGTGGAGCAACAGATCAATGTTTCTCTCTCTCTCTCTCCCTTCCTTCCTTCCTCTGTCTCTCTAAAATCAATTTTTAAAAATGAGTTAAAGGAAAATCAGGTATTGACAATAAAACCTTTTATACTTCAGCTTCTGATCTCTATATTATGTAAATTAGGAAGAACAGGATTTTGGGAGGTAGGTTGGAACGTATATACAAAATCCAAATGACTGATGAGATTACTTAAGAAGCTGATCTATACTAGAAATAAAGGACCATAATTATATGTATTCTTCTTAACAAAGAAATCATGAAGATGACATAGTCTATTTTCCTGAAATCATATAGGATAATACCTAAATCATCTCAAGTATTTTAATATTCCAATTGGATAATATAACTTTTTCTCAACACCCATTTCAATATTTTGAAGCTCTTGCTATTCTAACCTATTTCCCTCTCAGGTTCCTACAAATCACTTTTTGTTCCTGTGTAACTGTTTTGCTTCTGCTAATCTCAATTCCTTAAAATCCAAGTTACTCAGTAGACTTTATTTTTTTAATCCTCACCCCAAAATGTTTTTCTATTGATTTTTAGAAAGAGACGAAGAGAGAAACACTGATGTGAGAGTGAAACATTGATCAATTGCCTCCCATACACGTGCTTCTTTCTATACCTCAAAAATGATAAACTCATTCCATTTTCAGGACTTGCACTGGGTGTTCCTTTATCTGGAGAGCTCTGCACCTAGAATTTTACATGCTTTTTTCCCATTATTCTGGCCTTAGTTCAAATATACCTTCTCCACATCCTCCCTCATTGCTAAATGAAATAGCTTCCTTTTCCCCACTCTATCCCATTACCTTCTCTTATTTATCCATTGTGTTACTGAAATGATCTTTTCTTATTTACATGATTACTGTCTTTCTCCTCAGTCTTAAGTTGAATATGGAGACTATGTCTTGTTGACTAATTTATTCCCCAGTACCTAAAAGAGTTCCTTATACAGAGCAGTCACTCGATAAATATGTTGACTGGTTACTGCCATCCCCAGTATTGTCTTCAAATACTAACTTTAGTCCATTGGTCCATTGTATGGGGTCTACACAGCTATGGGTCATATGGGCAAAGGCAGGAGCATAAGAGTGAACAAGACAGCCAAGAGCCAAGAGAGCAGGAGAGCAAGCACACAAACTCCTTTGTTTAGAGGATTAAATATCTCAAATATTCCTGTGCTGCAGTGGCCATGCCTACTCTGGCCAGTGACCTGTTCCCAGTTGTGACCAACAGGTAAGTACCTCCCCTATTTCACCCAGACTTTACTGGGCATGCATCTATTCTCCCATCATGTTTAGTCTCTTCCCCCAGTGATCTGTGGGGAATGGACCAGTGGCTTCCTGGGGAGTATTAAACTGCAGCTTCCTGGCAAAGCTGCACATCAACATTCCTATACTCTTTGGCCTTCCTTTTGTTCACTTTGTGTAATAAATAATTGGGTTAACTAAAACAATAACAATAGGACCAAAATTCACAGTCAAATCGTTTCTAAAGTCCATGTTTTTCCACACTATCACAGAATCGATACATAACTTACAAATGCATACTTTTTATTTTATTTTGATTCTTCAAAAACAGAACTTAGCCCTGGCTGATTTGGCTTAGCAGTTAGCGCATCGGCCCTTGGATCAAAGAGTTGTGGGTTCAATTCCTGGTCAAGGGCATGGTCCTGAGTTGCAGGTTCAATCCCTGGCCCCAGGGAGGCAACTAATTGATGTGTTGATATGTATCTCTCACATCAATGTTTCTTTCTCTCTCTCTCTCTCCCCCTCTCTCTCTCTCTCTCTCTCTCTCTCTCTCTCTCTCCCTCCCCCTCTTCCACTCTCTAAAAATCAGTGGAAAAATCCTCAAGTAAGGATTAACTAAAACAAAACAACAACAACAAAACCCAGAACTTAAAATTTACCAGTGATGTTTACAAAATAAGAAATCCAACACCTTTATCTACCTTCGCATATTTATTTCTAAGAACCTAAATATATATTATATTAATTAATTTATTTATTTTTAGAGAGAGAGGAAGGGAAAAGGAGAGATAGAAACATCAATGAGACAGAACATCAATTGTCCTCCTCCTGCATGCCTCACTGAGCCACACCATCCAGGCAAGAACCTAAATTTTTAAAAAGCTTTTAAAAAGAACATAAAACTATAGTTTGTTGTGCTAAAGAAAAAATTATAAAGAATCATTAAATACTTCTACAATACTGGTCTATCTATATTTGGGTTTTCTCTATGTTTCCACATTTCCATCCAAGGATATTTATATTATTATATTATATTAATTATATTGTATTATATCATATTATATTATTTTATATGTATTCCTCAAGTTTACATTTGCCTAAAGAGCTGCTAGAGCGTAGTGAAACTCCCTGTGCCTCCTTTTTTGGAATATCCTCCTTTTCTGGAATATTCTCCTCCTTTTCCTCTCTTCCCTTACTGCTACAAACTCAATCCATGTCTAGGACTTCTCCCAAGCTAGCTCAGCTTCTTGCCAGAATACATTTTTGTACATTCTAGAAACTTCCTTTACTAGTCCCAGATGCGTCCTCTGAGGAAATGGCCTGAGGATTCAACAGCAAATCTTGATTTGCCACTGGGACTGAGGTTAAGTCCTTCTGTCATGTGTTAGTTAAAATGATTTATAATTATCACTGAGGAAAGCTTTATCTTTTATTTATCCCCCATTCAATATAAAAGTTACAATCTCTAGAAAACTTAAAGAATGGGTACTTTAATCCAGAAAATCCAGAGGTGATAGTGAAAAGGATTGTTGGACATATTCACTATTTCAATTAGCACAAAGAAAGGAAAAGTGTAAAATTTCTAAAAGAACAAAACTAGGAGGCCCTGGGCATTCATATTGGCTATAAGCCGAATCTTCCCCACAAAGATTCCACTTTCCCATCCCGAACCCTCCAACCTCTAAGGACTAAAAAACAACCAACACTCAGAGAGCTGAGTGTGTCTTTGCCAAACAGGCAAGCAAATGCTACTTGGAATAGAGAAAAGTTTTATCTAAACTATCTTGAAATCTGAACTTTTTCCTCCAGCAGGCATAGCATCACATGTAGTGATTAGGTCTAACATACCATTAGCTACTATTAGTTCTGGCCTAGGATTATAACAATAACAATAATAAAAATAGGTATTATTTATTAAACTTTTAGCATATGTCAGACGCTGTGCTAAAATACTTTATATATTATATATATATGCATATATATATATGTATATATGTATAAAGTCTTGTTTAATCCTTATAACAACCTTATATGATAGGTACTTACTATCATTTCTATTTTTTCAGATGTGGAAACTGAGCCATAGAGAAGTTAGGTAATTTGCCCATGTATAGAAAGTGGTGAAATCAGAATTCTAACCCTATTCTGCCAAAACCAATAAATAATATTTATAGGATAATAAACCAATAAATTTCACATATTCATACATTGGGTCTGCCTATATTTAACTTGTATATCAGAATCCTATAAAGTCATCAGCTAAACTATAGACTTTATTTACCCAAACAAAATATACCACAAATAGAGCCATTTTAAAAAGCATACAAAACTCACCAACTAGCATTTTAGCACATACCTACTGTGATGTTACCCATCTTGCTTTGTAATGTTATATTACCTGGAAAAGAGAGAAAAAGAAAGACAAATTTATTTATTAGGAATAATTTAGAAAGGAACTGTGTTATATGGTATTCTAAAACATGGTTGAATATCCACATATTATTTAATAACATTGTTTTTGTCATTGGCAATTTTTCTCAGCATCACACAACAATCAGAGATTTAGTTGCAACTCTAAAGTGAAAAGCTTTAGGCATCTATACATACTCTCTTCCTCCACTCCATTTTTAGCATAACTACCAACATACCACCATACATTCTGGGAAACATGGAAGAAACATCGTATTTCTAAAATCCTTAAATGAGAAAATCACTTAACTGGATGAAAGAAGGTGAAGAGATTAGATAAAGAATATATATGCATAACCCACAGACACAGACAACAGTCTGGTGTTGGACAGAGAGAAGAGAGGGTGAGGGCTGGGTGGAGGTGGGCAAAGGGGGTGGGGGATTAGGGATATCATTAATAATGTAAACAATAAAAAAAAAGGAAAGAAAAAATGATTACTATTATTTTTCAGGCCAGTATGCCATGCTAATATGTTAGATTAAAGTGGTTTCTGTGCCAAGACTTAAAGAAGTTTGGGGCAAGAATAGTGAATACATCAAAATATGACTAACAAAGAAAAAGGCCACAAAGGTTCCCATCTTTCAATGAAAATATATTTTCCAGGACAAGTATAGGATATTGCAAACATTCCTCCTAGTCCCCTTCTTCCAGTACCAAATTAGTAGGATATTTCTTCAGATATGTGCTTGTATGTATAATTACTCTGGAGCCATACTAACCATATTTACTACACTGACGGCGTGAGCAGTATTACCTCTTCTACCATAATTCAAAAACTACACTAAAAAGTAAAGGAATAACTATTATCTTAAAATTAATCTAGGGTAAGTAAACTCATCCCATTATACTTCATGGGAGTATATGAACAATGGGTACATTTATGTAGAAACAAAACTTAGTTTGTATGAAGTTAAGCTCATAAATTTATTTTCAAATCTCAGTAAGTTAAAAGGTTGTAAAGAAACTGTTAAATGTGTTATGTAAATATTATTTCATTGGTGTGTTCGAGACACACTCTTCTAATTTCAAATCCAGTACATGCAGTGAACCATCACATGCAAATAGTGGCCAAAGATCATACAGCTGCTTAGATGGCTTACAATGATCCCTGCCTCTCAAGTCCTTATATAATCTCCTCCCCTCATGTGTAGGCTGAACCTAATGATTTGTATTTGACAAATAAAATAGGGCAAAAGTAATGGATTTTACTTCCAAGATTAGGTCACATAAAGATTCTGGCTTCTGTCTTGCTTCCATCATTTGTTGCGATGGAAGCCAGCTAGACATGTTGTCAACTGCCCAATGAAAGAGGCTCACAAGAAAGGAACTCAAAAAGGCCTCCATCTAACAGGATCTGAACTGAATCCTGCCAACAACCACACAAGTGAGTTAGGAAGCAGATCCTCCCTTGGTTGAACCTTCAAATGAGCCCACAATTACAACCTCATGAGGGATCCCAGATAAGCCACACTGACATTCCTGACTCATCCAGACTGTAAAACAATAACTGTTTGTTGTTTTCAGCTGCTAAGTTTTGGGGTAATTTGTAACACAAGAGGAGGTAACCAGTACAGATTCTGAGAGCTGGAAGTGGGGTGCTGCCATAATAAATACCTAAAAATGTGGGAATAACTTTAGAAGTTGGCAGTGGGTAGAGGTTGGAAGGATTTTGAGGAACATGTTAGAGAAGGCCTAAACAGACTGTTAGTATACTCCCTATGAGGGCTCAAAGGTAAATGAAGAACAATGTTTTTGGAAGTTGGAGGAAGGAGGATCCTTGTCAAGAAGTAATAGAAACTTAGCAACACTATCACTTTCAGTAACGTGGAAAGTAGGAAATATGCCGAATAAACTGAGTGATCTAGCTAAGATTTCTAAGCAAACTCAGTGTTGTAGGTTATGCCTATTTTATTTCTTGTTGCTCACAGTAAAATGCAAAAGAGAGATAAACTTAAAAACTGTTAACCAAAAAAAGAACCGGGACATGAATAATTTTGAAACTTCTCAGTCTCTCAAGGTGGCAAAAGATGTTAAAGTTAAGAATGGCTTCTAAACAAACTTTGAATCCAGGGCACTGCCACACATGGACTAAAAATGAAGCTGAGGGGTAACTGTAAAACCTGTTGTTAAAACCCCAGAAAGATCAAGGGTGGTACCTCACAGTATTAATGTTATACAAAAAAGTCCTTTAAAAATATCAAGGGCACGTCTCATAGATGCTCTCAATCAAACAATAGGCCCTCTAGAAAGCTGGAGTGCACTGTACTTCAAGACCTCTGCAAAAGTCCATATTTTCAAAAGATTCTTGGATGTGGCTTTTATCTAGTGGAATAAACCCCAACATGAGTCATAGGAAGCTGACAAAATTTTTGACAGAATTATATCAGCAAACACATTGCAAAGTTAGACTAAAAGCAGCAGTGATAGTAAAAATGAAGAGACCATTGGACCCACAAAATTCTACTGGCAGGAAGCAGACTGAGAAAACTACTCAGCTGCAAACACATGCTACATTTCATGAAAAAGGAAGGATGACTCAGCAGTCGGAACCCAGAACTCAGAGAGCAAAGCCTAGAACCCTAAAGGATTATTCCCAGGCCTTGAGGTTTAATCAAAGAACCTTCAATGTTTGTCAATTCAAATTTCAAAATCACTATGAACCAATAACTCCTTTGTGCTTCTCATTTCCCCTCTTTGAATAGGAAAGTCTAGAGCAATTATCCTATGCCTGTTTCATTATTGTATGTTGGGTGTACAGGTGCTTTGAGTGTGGGTTGAGATGGGGGGACTAGATAGTTTGTTTCTTTAGTTCACAGTTCTTCAGATTCAGAGGAACTATAATGTAGGCATACCTCAAAGATATTAGAGGTTTGGTTCCAGACCACTATGATAAAGCAAATATCATGATAAAACAAGTTATAATCATTTTGCTGGTGGAGGGTCTTGCCTTCAGTTTATAAAACATGCAAAATTTCTGTCAGTCACACCTGGGAACAGGTCATTGACCAGAATAGGTGTGGCTACTTCAAGCTTGGGAAGATTTGATATTTAATCTCTAGAACAAAGAAGTTCCTCTCCTGCTTGCTGCGATCCTGGCTGCTGTTGCAGGAGTCAGGATCTCTTAGCTCCTCTGCACTCAATCACGTGGCCCACAGCTATGTGGGCCCCACACACCATGGATTAATGGGCTGGTGGAACTAGCTCGATGCTCTGCCAGACCCAGCTCCACCATGGAACAGAAACTTTGGACAATGACTTTGCTGCTAGCTCTCTTGAACCCTAGCTGCACCTCTTCCCAGACAGGTTTAAGGGAAATTGGACTTTTGAAACTGAGGGATGTAATTCCACATAAATAAAGCTTTCTACCACATCTCATCCTCCCAAGGGATCCTCAGGAAATGCTTATTCCAGCAGCACCCTGAAAACCCCACTCCCACTAGCAAGACAGAAAGGCATTTCTCCGATAACAAAAGGTTTAAAATTTAAGAAATAAATGTTAGATTTATATCTAAAAATGGCTCACTTTTGGAAGTATAACTTAAGGAAATTCAGATATCTCAAGCTTTGAAACACATTTTTATACCTAGGAGCTAATTAATGGAAATAAGGTAAATCAGTCCAAGGAAAAAAAAAAAAAAAATTACACTTTAATCTAACGTAACACAAAAGTCCATTCAAATATATTAGAAAAGTTTTCCACCCCAAGAAAATACATCCAATGACCTAAGAAAAATTTTGATGAGAAATAGTTATTTCTGAAATTATGTAACAATGTATTCTTGTTTTGCTTGTAAATAAATGAAAACAGCACAGTTAAAAATAAATAAAACATGCAAAATTTATGAAGCACAATAAAGAAATAAAACATGCAAAATTTATGAAGCACAATAAAGAAAAGCACAGTAAGACAAGGTATTCCTGTACTTGAAGATCTATATTTCAGTAAATATGCCTGAGGAATCTCATCTACACTGGATCTGATATTGATGTAGAGATTCTGGACTCTGAGGTGATGTATAATGGTATGCGACTTTTGGGATCCTTGGAAGGAAGGGAGTATATTTTGCATGTGAGGAAACATGAATCACAAGGGGTCGGGTCGGGCACAGAGGACAGATTAACCATCCAAAACTATACTGGACATGCACAAATGCAAAGTTAAAAATTAGTATTTATTAACAGTAATTATAAATTAACCTTGTAAATGAACAGTATAAATTAGGTTCCAGAGCCATTCAGAGAAGAGACTAAAATAATCTAACATGCACAGGGAGAATAGTCAGTCATATTGGAGATTATCATCAGAGCTGAGATTTGAAACATGGATAAAATTTGAATATGCTGAGGGGGAGAATTTTCTGGGAAAAAGAATTACACAAGCAAAGATAAAAAGGCAGAACTATATATGTTATGTTTAAATCATGTGAATCAGGTAAGCTGGAGAAATTAGGCAAGTTTATGAGGACAGGGATCATGCCTCATTTAGCACTATATTTCAAGAGCTTAGTTTACATGCACAATACACACAATTATTTTTTAACTATTATTCAAATTTAGTGTGGGAAAATAGGTAAAGGTCAATCTGTAGCAGAACCATGGAATGCTAGTCAACTGACTTTATCCTACACTGAAGGTATCAGAGAAGAATTTCAAGATAGATTCAATACATGAAAGCCATGCTTTAGAAAATTTAATCTAGTGTGAGACAGATGCTTCCACTCCGAATTCTCTTTACTGCTTCCACCTCCTGAACACTTCAAAAATAAGATGAAGCAGCCGGGGCCAGTTTGGCTCAGCGGTTAGAGCCCACAGACCAGGGAGTCGCAGGTTAGATTCAGGTCAAGAGCATGCATCTTGGTTGTGATTTGATCCCCAGCCCTTGTTGGGGTTCTGCGGGAGGCAACCGGTCGATGTTTCTCTCCCTCCTG